GGGGGGTTGATATACTAGCTTTATTAGACACTTTTGTGTAAGAGTTAAAGAAAGCATTCAAAAAACGATCATACTAGGAGGTATCCTCCCTCGGTAATCTTCGTTATCTTCCCCCAATTCGAGTCTGTATCCTTCATTCTCACTTAAAATTGGACCACAACTGATGATTCCCTCGCTATAAGCTCGCCGCCGGTCCCGAATAAGGAGCTTCTAAACGGGGCAATACTATTCACACCTTCGATACATCTTCTGACTCATTTAAAGAAATACACTATTGTAAATTCAAGGGAAAATACGCATAAACTCGTGTTTAAATAGTCGATCCTGATTCCACAGAAACTAACTCGAAAGAAAGCTTTCGAGAAATTATTTTTTCGATTCTTATCCGAATCACGATTTATTACGATTGTTCTAAAACTCCGGTAGGAAAAATCGATTGGAGATCAATATTGAAAGAAAAAAAATTGCAAAAGTGTTGCAATAACATAATACACCATTCCGTTAAAGTGTCTCCCGCCGTGTTCTCGAAATTTTAGCGATTGGGGGTTTCGAGGAATTCCTCTGTGCAAAGAGATGTCGGTCTCGGAATGTGGGTTCTTCGCTTTGCCGCCGCGGGAATCATCGAACCCGCGAAGACAGACAATTACAGGGCACCGTTGTACGATTACGCAGACAACGGAGAAGCCCGTTTTCGACGAGGCCACACACGCATCTCGCCTATTTACGCGACCGTCGTTGTCACGCTAAATTTAGCCGATTTCAGTCCCGGGACCAGTAACATAGGTACCACACACGGCTTTTTGAGTCATCGACGGAACTTTTGACGCGGAGCCAATGACTCTACGCCGGTACAATGTTGCGTTCGCTGTTCTTCGATCGATGATCTTCGTTTTCGGTGATTACAAGTACATTTCGACTGGATACGTCGAACCAGACTAGAAATAATAACTCCTCTGATACAGCGACTCACAAATATGTTCACTGGAGAACAGTCGGATTTATATTTCAGCAATATACTTACAAAATCGGGAATTTTACTGCTACGTTGAAAACAATTTATCAGAAAAGAATGACAGAACTAACGATAAGCAGCGTTCATGAATTGGAATTGCATAAAAATTTGTACACTTAATTGTTAAGTACTAAGTTAATGTACACTTAATTATAAATCATGAATTTCGATACGAATAAGTTTAATTGCCGATAATTATAGGGGATTTCTTGAGGCGATCAGTTCCGAAGCGTTTTTCGATTGTGATAATCCTAGGGGATGTTCTTGAGGTGATCCAGTTGTGATAAGTTCGATCGTGATAATCGTAGGGTATATTCCGAAGGTCATCACTGTCATCAGTTTCGAAACATTAGATTGTGACACTCATAGGGAATTTTTTTTTGGTTCTCGATAGCGAATAGAATTCAGGCTATCTTCGTTTTTCAAGTCAAACGAAATGCCAAACGGGGTTTCCTGATTCCCGCATCGAACCATTTTCCCGCGAAATCGCGCGTTATGATCGCCGCCACGTAGCCTTGACTCTGCACAGAAACACGCGAGGTTTTCTTTTTTCTTTTTTTTTGTCTTTATCGCGGAATCTGTTCTCACGAAACCATATTCGCTGCGATCGAAACTCCCCCTCAGGGGGTGGCTCTGCCTAAAGACTCGAGAAAAGCTCTGATTGGTCGGGGTTTTTCCTTAATATCGTTAACAAAACCTCGGATAACATTTTCCCTAAGGAAAAACCTGATCCAAATCTCCTCACGAGTAACCCATTTCAGAGACCTACAACACTTTCCTTATACCTACCCTGTGTATAAAAATAGAAAAAAAAATGTTTGTGATTATTAAATAATTTGAGAATGATAGGGTTAAGGTCGAGGCTCCATTTCAGACACCTACAACACTTTCCTTACACCTACCCTGTGTATAAAAATAAAAAAAAAAAATGTTCGTGATTATTAAATAATTTGAGAATGATAGGGTTAAGGTCTAGGCTCCATTTCAGACACCTACAACACTTTCCTTATACCTACCCTGTGTATAAAAATAGAAAAGAAAAATGTTCGTGATTGTTAAATAACGTGAGAATGATAGGGTTAAGGTCGAGGCTCCATTTCAGAGACCTACAACACTTTCCTTATACCTACCCTGTGTATAAAAATAGAAAAAAAAAATGTTCGTGATTGTTAAATAACGTGAGAATGATAGGGTTAAGGTTGAGGCTCGTGAGTGTCGAATCACGTCAAGTGTATCGACGTCCTGTGGCGAAGGGAGGCCACAAAGGCCGGTTCCACCCACGCGTTAAGACGCTCGCCCGTTTCCATAGGGGTGGTCTGTGACTCACGGGGGTGGTGGAGGAGGATGTGGTCGAGGAAACGCTAGGAAACCACCGGCGCGTCGATCGATACCGCGTTCCAGGGTAGAAATTCAGTTCGTTCCTGGCGCTGATAGTCGGCGGTTCACTGTGTATGTGTGTTCGATGGGTCAACAATTGTCGAGCCTCGCGCGGGGACTTTTTCCCATTTTGAGGCCCCGTAGCGGTGTCGAGCGACGTAGAATTATGGCGAACCGTGGCCTCGGGTGTAAAGTCACGAAAACGGTAGGACGACACCCCAAAAGAGTTCTTTTTTTTTTTTTTAAATCTTCCTTTATTCACGTGTAATCGTACGAAGAGAAGTGCGTTTGGTTGTAGTCTCTGTGGTGACATAATTTGCACGATCGATCGTATCTAGTCGCCTGAGGTGGTTTTATGTATTGTGTACTCGCGATGGAAACTGGAAGATCGCGTGTTGGATTCGTTGGGCACGTTGTTGGTGTTGTCTTCGTGGATTGTATTTAGTTTCGAAGCTGAGTTAATACTCGAGGTTGGCTCTCGATGACCAACGAGGAATATCGACCACCGATACTTGTCTCTGGCTATAGTTCGCCTAAAGAAAATGTATGTCTTCGTCGGTTAAAAATAGGAACAAAGACCAGAGCCTGGTAGAGTGAAACATATCTATGAAGTTCCTTCGATGTTCAGGTTCGATGTAGATAGATATTTCGTTCATTCACGCTTAACACTTTGACTGCCACGTCGCCCAAATACGAGTGACACGTACATTGCAAAGAAGCTGGATTATCTAAATATAACTATAAAACTTTTGCGTAAAATTAAAATCGCAGTATAATTTAGAACCAAACCAACAGCCTCTATTAACTGTACACATATATTTTCGACGATTTATGATTTAAAAAAGGAGATAAAGTATGTCTGACTACGTACGACCGTTTTCACTGTGGCAGTCAATGTGTTAATTCGAGTGATTTAATTCAGTGATACATTCCACGCAAGCGTTTGACGGAAGATGGGATTGTAGAAAGTTCGAAGACACGTTTGCGTCTTTTTTATTCGAAGTAAAAAACCCTTCCAAGCAATAGTCTGTATACAATTACCAGACACCGAATTGGCCGTCAGTTATCAATTAAACCATCATATATAAATAAAAGGGATAACTTTAACCGATTCAAATGTTACAAACCTTTGATACGAGGAGTAAAACCTCGTGTCTGGTATTTCCCTGTAGTTACAAGACCGCTTCAACGATTAATAACAATACATTCACCCTCCCTTCCAGGCGTTTTTTAAAATTCATCACGGACCAAGAGACAACACCGTTTTCTCGTTCAGCGAAGATTGTGCTCCTCTCTATCTTTCGCTCGAACCGATCGACAACCAACGATAATTGGCTCTTTAACCTCGAGGAGGACGATAAGTGTCGTGAACGGAGTCCGTTCAGTCGCGTGTTTTCCTCGGCTAAAAACGGGTCGGTCTGTAATTAGAGGGCGTGCACGATCGCCGATGATCCAATTACAGAGAAGCGATCGGTGAT